TGACAGTGAAATGACTGCCAGCTGGTGAAGGGGGAAAAAAAGGGGGGCGGGGGCATCTAATTTCAGGACAGCTCATTTTAATTGCATCCCCACCACCACCTCCAACCCGTCCATGAATTGCTTAAGACCACATTAGGCTACAGCATTGCATTAACATTTGAACTTACACTTGCTCCACGTTTTCCCCCATTATATGCAGGAAGTTGAATTTTCCCATTACACCGAGTTAGTCACAGCCACTTTCAGTTAGCGGAGCTGCCATACACGGAAGAGTTTTATCATCAGAATGTATTATGTAAGATTGACTGCAGGGTGGTGTGCAAGAAAGAAAAAAAACTCTTGGTATCAGCCCCGACGTCTAAAATGGAAGCATCCAATGCAGGGGTGGTCACGGGGCTGGAAACATTCAAATGGGCCAAGAGTGCTGATGCGACCTATTTACCGGGTTGTAATGGATTTGTTTGTGGCCCAAGCTCCCCCTCCTGTCTCGAAGGAATATTGGGGGCTTAGCTCCATTCACTTTCTGCTGCCCTGGCCATTTATTTTGATTAGGGAATGAAGTCCTCCACAGAGGCATACCCAGAATAATTGACTCTGTGTCCTTTGAGGTCACAAAAATATACCCTTAGTACTTATCCCCTTGGTGAGGTGGCAGTGTATGAAAAGATTGCCGCTGAGCACCGAACTGAAGGTGTATTATTGCTTTAGGTTGCAACAAAAAGTGGTCGGGGAGCTCGTAAATTATATTTCCTGTTCTTTTTTTCCAGGCTTGACAAGATAATTGATGTGTGCTGTGAACTTCCTATTGGTTTCAACTAGCCTATATATTGTTTATATTTCCTTTGTTGTCTGTCAGGTATAGAAAGTCACGAGGGATGCCAGTGGTTTGTTTTTAGGTCATATGGCTTAAACCTCAGCTCAACATTTAAGAAAATTTCATTTACGTACAGTTTCATATCAAGAAGAAAGGCATTAGATACATTTGGAAGTAGTGGATACTTTTTTCACTTTGTCTTTGACCACTTTGTTTGTGTTTGATCGCTCTGAGACGTGTTGAGTAACATTAGCTCAATCGATCAACTTAAAATGAATCGAAAGCTAATTTGATTTAAAGTTGACCTATTTTTTAATGCAAAAATCACACAAATTGTGTGTTTTTCCAGCTCCTAAAATGTGAATATTTTCTGGTTTTCACATTTCAAGACGTCACCATGAGCTCTGCCATCTTGTGGGGGCATTTACTGACAATTAACCAAACAATTAAACGCTTGAGAAAAGAATTAGTAGATGAATCAGTAATGGAAAGATGCAATAGTTGCAGCCACAGGGGTCTCTTGAGTACTTCTTTTGCTGTACTCTCACAGGGAGATGTGCTAATGTACTGATTTAGTAATCTGGAATTACTATTAAAGTTATTGATATACAAATTCATTGACTATGTATGCATCTCCAACCGCAAACTAACTAACTAGACACCAGAGATCGGATGCCAAAAACCCTTTTCCCCCCCTCACATCCACATTCAGAGATTAGATCCTGAAAGCGCCCCGATGCATGTCCACTCCCAGATGAAGCCAACTAGGAATGAGAAGTGCACAGGCAGAGAGGGAAGGGGAAGCAGATGGCTGGCCGACAGTGGTTCTGATCACGGGGATGTTGGCAAGATGCTGAGCGGGATAAATTAACCTTCAGAGGTTTTTACACTGCGGCAACTGTTGGCTCATGCTGGATTCCTCTCTGGCCCTCTCTTACTATCTCCGTCCTTTCTCCAGTCAAGCTTTTCGCTCAAGCCGTCTCCACCCTATCCCCCTCCATTTTCAGTAATTATTACGTCCCTATTTTCTCTCCCTCTCTTGCTTGGTCACAGAAGAAAACAAACCCATTTCGCAAAGCTAGCTCGGAATAACGGCCACTTCAAACTAAAACATATAATGACACTGATAACTGCGTTCTTTCTACCAGCCGTTTGTGTTTGTCTTCCTTTCCTTCCCTTGCAGTAGTTACCAAAGGTCAAACCCTCATCTTGCTTCTGAAGTAGCTCTAATGTGATGCGCAGGCAAAGTCAATGTAGCGTCGGCAGCAGTGTCAGCTCTGATCTGGGTCCTTCATCGTTGAACCGGGAGCCCGCTCACTTGAGGATCCTCATATGCATCATCATCACCAGCCTGCTGCAGGGCGGAGTATCTGTCTCTCCGCTGCACAACAGCCGTCACTATTCTGCCGGCAAAGGGCCCCTGGGTTGCGCTGCGACTGCGGACCCATAGCTGTCCATTTCATTTGCAGCACAGAGTTGCCCCGCTTGTTCTGTGTTGTGCCTTTTTAGTCCACTCAAGCCATGCATCCAGGAAGTGCAACATCTGTTTACTCAGCTGCTTTGCTCTCAAGTGTTAATATGAGCTCTGCCGGCGGCCAGCTGGGACAGTGAATTGGTGACAAGGATGATGATATTGGGCCTGGATCAGATATCGGTGACGATGGGGCAGATCAGTTCATAGAAGCTGTGTTGCTTTGGTTTGCAGAAGGTATTTTTAAAATGCTGTAGAAAAGCATTGTCAATAAGGTAACGTTTGACAACATTTGTTGGAAGTGCAAATGTGTTGGATCCTAAATGTTATGAATGCCATAAGGCCTTGCAACACTCCAGGGACACTGAGGAATAGGTGTGGGAGAACAGTATACAGCGCAGATACACTAGCCTCATGTTGTGTTTTATCCTCAAAGAAGATGAACAATTTCTCTTTGCAAGACGGAAATATGCAGGCAATTTCAATTAAAACTTGAAATTTTCTTCTCTGCTGGAGATGCTATCTTTTTTTTTTTCCCTTACTCGAGTTCATCAACTTATTTTTCTACAAACAAGATATTAAGCCAGTGGAGGTGTTCAGTAAATGACTTTGATTCAAGCATTCTCATATGAGCTAAGTCATTTTTTTGAGTTTTTTGATAAACACATTTGTCTCTGCCTTTTCTGCTTAGTTAGATGGTGACATCATCAGTTAGCTTTTGATGATTCTTATTGCAACCCAGTGGACTAAATACAGCTTTGTATTTATTCAATCGAGAATCAATATTAAATCAAATCAAACTGAATGGCATCGTAGGACCCCCCCCCCCCCCTACAGATTGAAGGTTTTGTTTGTTGAAAAGGTGCCGTGATTTACATATAATGAATATATTCACAGCAATGTTAATATGAAGTTGGATGCATATGGAGCAGAACTGCCAACAGTATCGTATTAGTGCAAATTACTCCCAACCTAATGCTTGAAGTTGGTGAGGTGGTGAAAGATGATTGTTGATCAACACAGGAGCATTACAAACACAGTGGGGGGTGGATGCTGTGAGTGTCAGACTTCCTGATCTAAGGTACCTGCCAATAGAATTGAATTCTTCAAAATGCAGCGTTATGTAATTATTTTAGAATCGGGAAGCAGAAGCTTTCCTTCTTTCAAAAGTGAGAGAATAAAAGAAACGTGTCGTTGTTGAATCCCACTCACTACTGTTGGCAAAGCTGCAACGCTCCCTAGCCTTCATTTGGACGCGTTTCATCAAATTTAGCACGTGGAAAATAAGGCACAAGGGGAGTGAGGCAAGCTGTCGTTTTCTAAGGTGGGGGGGGGATACATGAGACATTACTTGTGCACAGTATTGTGAATGGCTGTATGGATTCAAATGTCTGCAAAAAGCGCTGAGAGACGAAGACAAAACATCTGCTTGACACATCTGAAGTGCGGTCTCCGGTGAAAAATAAAAGCTGACAATGGGGAAGCAGACATCTGCATTGGCATGATCGCTCAGTGAATTTAGAATATCATTTTGGACAATTTCCATCAAATTGTCAGGAACGAGATGAAGCAATAATTGCTCTTGCCATGCTGTAGTCTGTGAAAAATGTTCCTACATGTCGCGTGCAATTCTTTAGGCGTCATGGTGTGGTGATTCTAAACATGTCCAGCTATATTGCCTCTTCGGAGGCACTTTGCTTGCTCTGGCAGGTGCAATGATTAACTTAAGTTGCATATTAGTTTGACGTGTGTTTTTGAAAAACAAACATCAGAAAAAAAAAAGCAGCTCCTACAAACAACATCTTAACCTCTTAAGTTGATAAAAGGTACGTCTTGATATTTATTACATTTTAGAGCTGCTATGATCTGCTATTGTGGATATTTTGTAGTAGACTCGGACTCAGGAATAATGCTTACCGAGCTCAGTGTCATACCAGACAGCATCTTTGATATATATATATATATATATGAAGGAGTAGAAGGAGTAGAACCATCTCAAGGAGGATCAGAAGAAATGGACAGCATGTGAGTTAAATATGAGTGTCACAGCAAAGGGTCTGAATACTCATGACCATGTGATATTTCAGTTTTTCTTTTTTAATAAATTTGCAAACATTTCTACATTTCTGTTTTTTTCTGTCAAGATGGGGTGCTGAGTGTACATTAATGAGAAATAAAATGAACTTTTTTGATTTTAGCAAATGGCTGCAATGAAACAGAGTGAAAAATTTAAAGGGGTCTGAATACTTTCCGTACCCACTGTATATATATATATAGTATATAACTATAATTAATGTGCAATTGTTCCCAGTCATTCAAGCATTGCTGAAACACCAACTCTATAGACTTTACCTTTTAGTAGGTATTTTTTAAATAATCTGTGGCGTTAGTACTCTTTGTATGTATTTATATTTATGGCACAATACACACTTGCACTACGTTATATAAATATTAATATGTACCACTATTGGTTGTATTTTTCTGGCTTTAGCTGAAGATGGATCTTCTACCACTATCTATCAAAACCAGTGAAGTCATGTTTAACTGTCAATTAACGGTAAATCTGATGTTAGATTGACTATTTATTGTGGCCTAACTTGAGGTTGCTGGTTTAACTGGTGTTGTTAACTTAACACATATGTACATAACCGATGAGAAGCAGCAACACATTGCAAAAGAAAAGGTACAGTGTTTAAGTAGTGCAATGGCACTGGATGGTATGCAATGTAGTTTTAATTTCCGAGTTACAACACTACACCACTTGGTTGGTATGGTGAACAAAATGTGTGGTGAAAACAAAGGCAGGCAGCTTTGAAAACATTGCACATCTGTCAAAGGTTCCCCTGACGATACATTGTAGCTGACATCAGTGACAGAAACAAAAAGCAGAGCGATGGAAATCTGTTAAAACGTGGTGAGGCTCAGTTTCCCCTTTCATGGGAGAACTGTGGGTAATGTGTTGGACCCAGACCAGTAAGCAGGTAAAATAGGCTCCATCCGTCTTTTCAAGTCCGAGTGAGGTGGAGGGAAACAAGTGAAACGTCGATGCATAACACTGACATTTTTTAATAGAATTAATTTATAACAAATGGAACTTGTGTCAGCAAAGAACTGATTTTCACACAGACTTCTTTCGCCACCAATGTGTAAGAAAATAAAAAGCACTCCTTTCATTCAGAAAAAGAAACAGTTTACGCTTACAACTAATCAGAGGTAATTGTATGATCTTTTTAACAAGCCATTTTTTTTTTCATTTATTTATTTTTTTTAACAATTTCATTATTTAATTTTCAGTCTATGCATCCAGACGAGAGATAGATAGAGAGAGCAGAGAACACGACGTTTATTTCTGTTAATGACACTCCAAGCTTGAATGGCAAAGCCACAAGAACAGATGGTTGGGGGACAGATTCTTCTGAAGTCATTTGCTGGAGTAACCATGGCATCGGGATGGATGCTCTTTTTTCGCCACAAACGTATTTTGTTTTTTTTTGTCTTTTTCAAGAGTCGATACCTTTTTTGTGTTATTTACATACACACAAAGTGAACGTTTAAGGAGATTTTCTTTTTATAGATGGGTTCAAGTAATATATTGTTGGGTTAAGAATCAATAGGGCAGTGCATAGTACAAAGATAGAGAAAGTGCAAATCTTTCTACCTGGCCAGCTTTGGCCATTCTGCAATGTATCACCCTGCAGATGAGAAATCAATAGAAACAAAAAAAAAAAACATATAAAGGAAAAACTGAGATGAGGAAAATAAACATCTGAGACTTGAACATAATGTCACATTAGCCACCATGAAGTTAAATAATAGCACTTTTATGTCTCACAATGATGACAAAAGTAATCGGTTAAGCAGACACAAATGAAAACACACAGCTGCTTGAGTTTACAAGGGAAAGAAAGTACCTGGAATGCACATCCACAAGGCTATCAGGAGGGTCCGGATGCTGCTCAACACGAACCAAACTAAAGCCCAGTCTCAAACTGTAATGCCATTTAATGAAAAGCAACATGCCGCACCGTTTAGGATCGTCAGCATAACAGAACGTTTAGTTGCAGATTGCGTTTCTCGATCCACTCTCTGTTGTGTCGTAGTGACGCACATGAAGGCCAGAATTCAAACCCAAGGCATGAAGGAGAAACCCTGAGGTGATGACGTGTGCATCCGGCATTCTTTTTAACCAAATGAGTTTTTAGTTTGGTCATTTTAAAATTGGATAATTGCTGTCTTAAAATGTGACCGTGTGGAAAATCTGTTCAAAGCTCATTGCCGTTATGACGGGCCTCTTTATCTTTATGTATTCTGCATTATCGTCCCTGTCTCTATGTCTGCGTTTGTTCAATATATGTTTTGTAACTATTGTGTATTCTTGAGTGTTTTCTGTGGAGGCCAGTGATGTATTTAGAGTTTTATTCTAATTTACTCAGCCCACAGTAAGGCCACTGAAAATGAAACAAAAGATGAACTTTGAAATGTTCTTAATTGCATATATAATCTCATTATGTGACGATGAATACAAAAAGGTAAATAAACTATATGGTTACAGTTGAACTAAATGCCTAGATTACTCAAAGGGTACATTAATATGTTAAATGAAACATTATAAAAACAGGCATAAATATAAGGCACTCTAAATGCAAAAAAAACAACTTCTTACCATTGGATGCTTTAAAGAAGCACAAGAAAGTGACTTCTTTGTACCTTGCCCTATTGTGTGGAGCGGTGATTGCGGCTGTGTGACCCTTCTGCCATTAATTACTGACTGTATGAGAGCTTGGAAATAAAATAAAAATAAAATGCACCAGTGATGCTTTGACTGGCACCCGACATTCCCGCTCCCACACCTCCAGTTGCGTGTGAAACAAGAATGTCACGAGTGAATGTCACATCCACATAGACCCCTATCTGAACACACACACACACATGTATTTATTGCACAAGAACAGATGCACTGAATCAGAATACAACTGTGTTCCTACTGATGTGCATTCCAGTGAAATATCTCATTTCATTTCCCCCATAGCGCACAACTCTCCATCTGGAAGCTGTCATAGACGGTCCATCTTTCGTATACTTTTCTTCATATATTACGTCTATGTATTTAGAATGTTCTATTTATGCTTTCGTATATATTTCACATGTATTTGACAATCTGTACCATATATTTATAAATTCATATATCTCATCCAATTCATCAGGTTCTCTTCTCATCCTTCTAACATGGAAGAACTAAGATAATCGGTAGCAGCAACTTTATACTTTGCTCATCCCTGTTGATTCCACAAAGCCCCAGTTATTCCTATGGGAGGAGTTAATTACCATGTATGTGATCATGGACAAAAAACAAACAAAAAAATCAAAAATAACTCTTGAACAAACCTACATTTTGGTAGTGTGAATTCTGTTCTGTGCACCAAGTGCAGCAAAATGAAGGAAACGAATAGAAACAAAATGTCTTTAAAAAAAAAAAAAAATCCTCTGCTAAATAGCACATACTCCAGAACAGTTCTACAGCTTTAAAAAAAACAATAACAATTACGTAAATACATCTTATCACTTTTTTCCAAGCAATAAATTTGTGTAAAAAAAGGAAATTCACACAGTTCAAAAAAAGCACATCAGCTGTATAATAAAGTACTAAAAAACTAAATCAATCATTTTTATTTATTTAATATATCATTTGAGCGTTACCCTCTCCAAAATTTAGATGATGAACATTGTGACAGGAAAAGTGGTATTTATTCATTATTACTTTTTGTCTGTCTTGCTGTTGTGGACCAAGCATTGTCTTCTTTTTCGATGGTTTATCTGTGTGTACTTGATGGTGGAACTGATTTTTTTTTTTTCTTTACAATGTGCATCAAGTCCCCCCCCCACCCCCAATTCTGTGTGCCTCCGATGTCTCTCGTAATGGTTCATAATCACTGATGCATTTCTGACGATGTCATTATTGTTCATTTATATTTTTGTTGTGTTGGTTTCATTCAGTTTCATGAGCCCCCAAAATGAATCCTCGAAGCAAGAGAAAAGATAATTCCAGACGATGCTTCAACAGTCAGGATTCCCTCACTTTGTATCAAGGCGAGGTTTTTATCGGGGGTCGGGAAATACTTGGTCCTCCGGGAATCATCTTTTTCATTTTTTGACGAGTCATGTCACACATCCAACACTTAATGAGTTGTTAGCAAGGAGTTAAGGAGTACTTTCTCAAGCAGGAATTTATGGCTCAGAAGAGAGGCTCACTGGGTTTTCTTTCCAAAGGGCCCTCTGCTTTTTTCTTCCAATACTGGGTCTTTTACGTTGCATAGTGATCAAAGCTTCCCAGGTACTCCAAGCCAGCTCTGTAGCAGAACTGGTATTGATCCTGGAAGCACAGAAGAGAAGACTTCAGCTCACAGGGATCTGCCATCTTTGGTACATTGTACTTCTAACGTGATTATTTATCTTTATTTTGTAATACAAAGGCGTTAGTAAAATATTGATTGGTTTAAAAGCATAGTTGGAATCTCACCAGCCCTTTTTATTTGGCAGTTATCAAATCGGTCACACAGAAACTGATTCCATGTGTTATCTAAACCATAACTAGTTACATTACTACCTCAGTACAGTTGAGTTATTTTTTCGTCTTAATTTTAGTGGGGGAAAAAAAAAGCACCTCACCTCTGTCTGCACCATAGCTGGTCTCTGTGTCCGTAACATTTTCACTGTCTGAAAGATATCTACTACGCCCTCATATCTCATTCGTTCCAAGACGATGCTGAGGGTGATGAAAACTCCAGTTCTACCAACACCCGCGCTGTGCGAGAGAGGGCAGAAGTGTTAGCGGTGAGGCCAGAGAAAGCAGATAAATATAGAAAAAGTTCTGTCAAACAATGTACCATTATGCAGTATTTCTGTAGAAATATATTCTTTGCAACTCAATAGATGGTTGCACTCAGTTTAATTTTCTACGAAGTGCATGTTGTATCGTGTGGTGGGTTGATACTGGTTGATCACTTACCTACAGTGGACTGAGATAGGCCCATCTTGGCCAAACTGCTCTTTTGTTTTATGTACTTGGCCGATGAAATCGATGAAGCCCTCCCCTGATTTTGGCACTCCTTGTTCAGGCCAGTCTGTGAACTGAAACTGCCTTACTGTCCGCGACTGTCCATCCTGGAACCGAAAGAGAGAGAATGTACAGAAGCAGCTCTTAGAATCAGTCAGAGATATGCAACAATAACAGAGTAGAGTGGAACTAGGAAGGCAATCCGAGATGTTTCACAGAAGGCCAACCCGTGAGCATCTCCATCGTGATCCACAGCTTTGTGGGTTTTACAGTGCAAGATGGACTTTTTAGGTGCAAAGTAAAGCATCAGAGAAACTGTTGTTATTAAAGATTCCTGTCATTTCCTCTGAATGTTTTAAACATGAACACTGAAGATGCTAATTCCTTTGATGTGCTACCCTCGACAGGGTGCTTGGAGAATCGACTTTGAGGGTGTGCATTACTTAAGTGATATTGTATCCCCTTGATAAGAAGAGCAATCCCATTGACGAGACAGTGTAACATGCACTACAAAGGAAGGAGTCGGTGCCATTTATCTGTGTAAGTCTTTGATGGAATTAAAAACTCTGGCAGCTCGCTGCTGCCGGCACTCATTTGTTTTTACACTTTGACACGTGTCATAATTCCCACAAATATATATTTATCCTTATGTTATACTTTAGGCCATAGTTTGGTATAAACAAATACTTGATACAATGCCAACATTTGGAGTTAATGACGACTTCAATGTTGCATCTGGTGCTATCGAGCATGCCCACCACTTTCAAACAAATCTTCTTTCTCTAAGTAAAATCATGTGATAAAACAAATTGCATGATGGGAATTCAGAAATTAAAATAGCCAGTTGGTTTCTCAATAGTTAAATTATTATTATTTCATTTTGGTAATGCATCCAGTGTCCCCCATGACCCACGGTTGGGACACGACCCAGGCTTTGAAAGGCAATACACTAGACCAAACTGTAAACTATAGCACTGGAGTTGGAGCTCTGTTCCAACAATGTCCCATTTTCTTATCTTTAAACTTAGTTTGATGAAACAAAGTCTGCTTACCCTGGCGTCAGTCACTTTGAACTCTCTCAGGATATACTGGGGCATGTTATACTCGGCCATGGGGTCCACCACAAAGTACTGGTATCTGGCTGACCTCTCCGCTGGCCAGTACTGGTGGCACTTTTCCTGTAGAGTGAAAAATAGAAGACCACAATGAGCCACAACATTCTCTTCATACACTCGCTTCATTGTGTTCATTCCCAGAATTTTCTTCATTCAATTCCTACTGCATCTTCAGCTGGTATTCCATATACGCTGTTTTGTAATATGCTTTTGTGTTTGTAGCCAGAAGGCGGTTAATCTGCCAAAAAGTGTGGAGAAAAAAAAAAAAAAGAGTTGGCTTACCCTGCCCATTTCTCTAAGCTTGGTGAGCATTACGACAATAGTGGAGTTGTGCTCCCAGAGCATTCTCCAGAAGTCCTCCGTGGTCTCTGCCAGTGGTCCTTGTGTGGCAATGTATGCTTTCTGTTGCCTGTGGGAATGCATTAGTCACATGATGGAAAAGTATGAGCATTGTATACGTTTCTCTTATACTCTCTTATGACTCTTTAAGTTACAAAAATGTAGTTTTTCAAGTCCAATGAATTGATATACTGGCCATCTTATCAGCAACGGGTGTTGGAGTCCTTACCTGTACCCGTCAATGAAACTGGCATTGATGTAGTCAGAGCCTTCAACTCCCCGAATGGGCTGAAGACACACGCGCGTGGACTCGTATGGCATTATGTTAACAAGGCGGTTCTTGAACTTGTTGCAGGGAAGATTGGCACTGATGAATCGTGATGTATGGGCTTTAGTGTTGGCTAAACGCTGCATCGAGACAGAAAAAAAGACACCTTTGAGCACTGACATTCTGCTGTTTTCCTAATTACCTATTATGTTTGACATTTAAGGTGGATTGTACTTTACATAGATCTAAGCACTATGAACGATCACATGCTTTCGTATTTTGTCCTGCTCCCTAAGGAAGAATCCCCAATAATAAGCTGCACATAGTGGATAATGACGCACCAGTGTACTGTGGTTATATACTATTTCATGTAACCATAAAGTACAGACATGGCATCAGTGATTACTATCACAGCTGGCCTTTGCAGGGGGAAAACGGCATATTACGATGACGACAGGGGAATGGATCCCCAAGTGGACAGAATCAGTGTAATCTAAGCTGTTAATCATCTCATAATGGAATCAGCATCCATCACAGAGCAAGAAAGTAGGTGCGTGACGAGCATGGCAATACGGTGCATGCAGCAAGAACAAGGGCTGCAACGGCTGGAAAAGGAGGGTTGAGACTCTCATTGTAAATGCAGAGTACATTGCTCAAGTCCCCTCTGTGGTCGGGGAAACCTGTGTTTGGTGTTTGTCATGTAAACCAAGACCCCTGTAACCCAAGGAAGTGGAGCTATGGGAAGGGGAAATCAGACATGGAGAATTCATCCTATGTTGCGTTGCACAAGCAAGTCAACTAAGTGGAATAGAGAGGAAACCACAGGCCCCACACTGTCGAGCGAGCCTAATGAGAACTGGAAAAGAGTTTGGGAGTTGGACTGAGAATTCCCAATCAATGGCACAGGGGCACGCATTTGACTTGGAAAACAGTTGCCAATGGGATGCCGGTAAATTCTTGCGGCACATGGCAAGTTCTTAGTGTAAAACTGAAGGTCAGGTGTCATGTAGGAATCGAAAGCTGAAACACTGCTCATTCATAGTAATACAGTTTGTACCTTGAACTCAAGTTCCATGCCGGTGACATTCTCTCCACCCTCTATCTGCGTCAGTTTCTGGATGTAGGCGTATAGGTTTCTGGCGGGCACTTCGGTGGTGCCGCAGTTGACGGCCTCCTGGAGCGCGTCATGTATGAAGACGTACTGGTCCTCTGTCTGCACCATGTAGTTGCGCTGGGCACGCATTAGCGTTACATGCCCGTAGATGTCCACAGTCTTCTCGTGCTTGATACGCTCCATCATGGCATCAATCACGATGAAGCAACCTGTGCGTCCCACCCCAGCACTGCAGTCGAAAACAACATAAAGAAGGAAGCGTGTTATTGGATGGCATTCTCAGTGGTAGCAGTACAAGAAAAGGGAGGTTATAAAAGGCATACATTTTATCGAAACATGTTTAAGGTCCCTACTTTGACAAGTTTGAGCTTTTATTATCATACCTTCTATGAATGAGGAGCAGTCCAGTGGAAGGTAAAGTGTCTTTTCTAAACATGTACAAGGGCGTGAAGAACTCCCTTCTCCCATTGATGAGGCCAAAAGGTAAACTCTCTGCGCCAAGTTTGCCACTGTAGGATGGACCATTTGGCTTGGAGTGTAATTAAATCTGAAGTGGCACTGTGTGGAGAAGAGGGCTTGGCAGTCAGAGCCTTCAGCGGGCTGACTGCTGCCTTTCGCAATCTAGTCCCCCCCCCCTGGACCCCACCTGTGCTCTCCAATACATCAGGGCTAATCACTTACGCAACAGCAACATTTAACCTTTATCTCATGGTTCCAAAAAGTGCCACTACAACAAATGCACACAGAGATGTGGGTACACTGACGCAATTTAGAGATTTTTGTTTGAGGGCTTCGTTAATGTGCAGGGCAACTTCTGAGAAGTGCAGCTGACTTCAATTAATGCCATTAGATTAGCACAGTGCACCCACAAAAACGAAAGAGCTCCAGAAGAGGCACTGAAAGGCTGGTCTCCTCGTTGAGATTCACATCGGCACGTTGCTACATTAGTGTGTAAAAATGCACACGTGAACAAAGTGCTCTTACATAGAGGGAACATGTTTCTCTTTGACCTCCTCTTAAAGAGCAGCCACAGACGTGCTGCGTAAACGTAGCTTCCTTCTGCAGACTGCCGACAGTTGAGAAACGCTCACCCCTTGCACATTACATGTTTTAATATCTCATGCCTCAGCACAGAGGATGTTTTCTGATGACAATTTATTTACTGTGGGGCGACAGGGTGGTGGTAAATCTTGTTCGTTAACTCTCCTCCCACACCCCGCAAAGCACGGCACTGACGAGACAGTACCTCGCGCTCCAAAGTAAATAGGTTATTCAATCCATTAAGCTGACATGCCTACGAGGTGTGAGCCATGCTCTCGTGCCTCCTCCTTCTGATGGAGCATTTGTTTTTCATTTGCTCTGAGACACGGAGAGAGGGGGGTTGAGAAGGAGAACTCGAGAGGGAGTAAAGTTAGTCCCTGGAGGCCAAGTCTGGTTAATGTGCCATGCTGCACTGGAATTAAGACACGCATGGGAGTCATTGGCTTTAACAAATGATCTGATGATCACTTTCAAAATGGCTGACATTGGCTGAATAAGACTGAACTTTGTTTTGTGTTGTTACGAAACTCTTCAAAGCTCTAGGGCGTTCACAGAATCCGCGTGTGAGTCTTAAGAATCAAGCCGCTAAGAAAAGTGAAAGTATCTGAGGGATATTTGAAGAGTGAATCACTTCCAGGTCCCAGAACACATCAGCCCTCGGGCGAGGGATGCAGAAACGAGGAGAGATTTGTCCCTCTACCCCAGCTGCTTCCAATCTGAACACATTTTACAGTGCAGACCTGAATGTGGGAGAGTGATGACCTGCGAGAGAGTAAGTGACAGAGTGACAGCGTTGAGCTCGAGAGACAGAGACAGAGGAAGATGAGGAATGGGGGGAGGGAGGTGGGGAGACGGTGGAGTTGTGTTGTGCAGGTAGAGATGTCGCCGGTTACCTCGGAGTTGTGTGGATAGTTTTTCTGAAAGACTGAGCAGCAGGAATATATATTGAGCAGCATTTTATTCTGAAATGTAACAACAGGAAACGCTGGGAAAATATGCGATATTCCTTTTATCGACAAGTGATGGTGTGTGTGTGTGTCGGTGCAGAAAGCTGTCGGTGCGTTTGGCAGTTGAAGGCGAGCTGGCGGACTGACTGCACTAATGACCTGACACTGCCTTTTCAGCCGGTCAAGACCAGCTGCTTTGGACGTCGACACACATTAAGTGTCAGACTAATATGCTTTCCAGGAGTTTAGGAAATAGGGGATGGGAGAGAGAGTGCCATTTAAAATACAGCTGCAATGAGTCCCGAGAAGATAAAGCATGAGCAGCAGTGGAAGTAATTACATATGTATTGTTACCAAATCTCTTGCCGTCAGCTAACCTGTCACCGTTTCCTTACACTGCCTATTTAACACGCTCACATTTACTCAAATTCACCAGGATCGCCTCATTTGGAGTCTATAATACTTATAATAATACTAATCAAAAAAAGTCATTCATTCAAACTACCGGGTTCCTGACCTTTGTCAGGCATGTAGTCACCACCAGTAGCCAATGCAAGCAAAGTTATTTGTCTCAGGTGTCTCAGTTATTTCTTAACTCGGAGCACTTACAATGGATTCCAATCACGACTGTCATTCACAGTGAGAAGTCCATAGAAACCTCTCCCATGACCCTGCAGCATGATCCAGTGTTTTCGCTGCCCATCAGTATGTTCACTTACGCTTGAAGCAATTGTGCCAAAACAAACAGGTAATTACCCACTTTCCGTTTTTGCTGGCACTCTAGATATTGTTATTTGTCATTCGCAGCTGACATACCTTAATTGCTAGGTGAGTGGACTACATTCTACATGATGTGCTGGCTTCCACAGTAATACAGAGACTGTTGTTTCATCAAAAGTTTCCCTTCGCAGCTGCTGGGAGAGGCCAGCGCTCTCCACGACATTCAATCATGAACTTTTAACCTCTTCCGTCACCTCACCACGCTTGGGTTAGCCCTTTAGCTACAGCAGCAAAACAGTCCCTGACCTCTGGGTCAGTGAAAGCAGCAGGAACAAGGAACCCAGGAAACGTGCTATAATGTGTCTGGGGGGCAGATTTGATAAGACAAACTGGAATTTCACCTTGTGAGAAGTGTTGAAGAAGTGCAGTGGAAACACATTGATGCATTTTGCATGAAATACTCATGTGGTGAAAAACGATGTACTAAACCCATATTTACCATAGAATGTTTAGCATGTGCAACACAAAATGCTCTGATTTCTTGGCCCTAAGTCATTATCATTAGTGTTCAATCACATGGATACAATTGTGAATCTTACCACAAGTTATCGTTATTTGAATTTACGGTATAGTTTAAGGACACCTGTCTGATTTCCTCAATTTTACAGTGTAAGAATCTCTGTCTTGAGGTGTTTGTGTGGAGGAGTACAGACATATTGATTGGCTGGTTATAGCTAAGGATCTGTGTTAGTCAAGATATAAACATGGTTCTAATTAGTGATTTACAACTAATTAACTAACTAATTAATCAGCTACTTAAGAGACTGTACCATGTTGTTAATTATAGGCCTTTTTGCATGTGTATGAACAGCTTTAGCTACGATACTAAATATCTTTATCTACGGTATATCTCTGCATAACCACTAAACACTCCTAACATTATTTTTGCAAGTATGCAGATAAAAAAAAAACGATGGCTCTATTTAAAATTGTGGTCAAACATGAAGTGAAGAAAAGCCTCTGGAAGGATTTTGAGCTTGGGGAATGACTGTATCTGATAGGGAGCCAGAGGTATTAAAAACTCCCATCTGCAGAGTGACATTAATTCCTGCATTCTGCTTCATTGTAGAAAGTCCGGATTTTCAATTTGAAGCGATTCGGCAACTAGTTCTAATTAACTACAGCATGTGGTAACTCTAATTCTTCAGTAATCCCCCTTCCTCTTTTTGTCACTTTCTGACACAAGTTTGTATCTATTACACTCACTGTGGCTGTTGCTTGGTTTTTGACTGTCTCTCTCTACCCCTTCAGTCACTTGCTTTCTCTGCGCTGAGCCTCTGCTGACTTGCTGAGTTGAAAGGAGCCAGAAGTCTGTGTTATATCCCCTCTGCCTCTCTGTTGGAAGTGTGGCTGCTTATGTAGCTAAGGGAAGCGAAGTTGGCGTTAAAGTTATTTGTTTCGGATGCAATAACCCAGGGGATAAGCCAAGGACTTGTGGGCTGCTGATGTGCGACATGTTAGTGGTGTAGCAAGGAACACGACAGGTCTGTGTGTGTGTGTGTCTGTGTGTCAGCGAGTGGGAGGAAATGTTTGAGTTTGCCGAGGGCAATGACACTGGTACTCTTTGTGCTGTGATGTTGAAAACACCCTCCGATTTTAAGTGCCTTCTGTGAAAGCTAGGAGGCTGATTTGTTTGGGCTTACATCGGGCCACAGTTTACTCAATATCAAATATTCTACTTTCAGCTTACATTTTTCCCTCTGGTTCATTTCTGATTTAGTTTTTAAAAATATCTTACTGGTACACAAATCACTCGGATAACAACAAAAAAACCAAAAACACATTTTGTCATATGTATTCATATATTCATTACAGCAAATGGAAAGAACAAATCAATTTCATGCTTCAGGATGTTTTCGTGATACCATGTTGTTTCTTACCTGCAGTGTACCGCCATTGGCCCCGCATCCGGAGGATTGCAAGCTTTCACCCGTCTGAGGAAGGCCAGGAAAGGAGTGGGGTGCTCCGGTACCCCGTGGTCCGGCCAGGCCGTGAACTGGAACTGCCTCACCTCTCTCTTCTCACTGGAGCCATTCTGAATTATGGAGGTGGAGAAAGGTCAGTGACCAACGACTTGACAAGTTGTTGTGGGGTCTAAGTAGCTACTATCGGACAAGAAAATCCAAATGCTCCTTACTTTAAAAAGTGCAAATGTCCTGACACAGTATGTGGCCAGCTCTACTGTGTCTAGCAGTGTCACTTGGATGAGGCCGTACGTCTCTGTCGCTCTTGTAGGCCAGTATTGGTCACATTTAACCTGCAGTGGAGAGACACATGGTATGGATAGGAATGAACACATTCTGCCATATACTTAGAACAGACTAGTCTGGATGCATTTTGTAAATGCTCTTTTTCAAAAATGCCCTGCTTCACATTCAAAGTATTACACAAAGTCAAGTAATGGTAAAATACATTTCCAAATTCACCTCATTCCTGCTGAGTAATCAATTAAATGGCCTGAGATATTTGTATAGAGCTGAGAGAGCTATTCATTTTCCTGCCGTACTCCATAATTACAAAAGTAACCACAGTTTCCAATCATATCACCGGCTCAGCCCTATTGCCATTTGACTGTGCAGCTTTGTTTCCCGGTTAACGGCCAATAAAAAAACGGTTCCACTATCGCATTACTGCTTAGCTGACAAAGGGAAGCCCTATAGGTGTTAGGGAGGAAATAACTGGGTTCCAATTCACTTGTTATTCTTCATATTGTCCATTAAACTGATGTGGTGATAGCCGTATGTTCAACACAATGGCAATGTCATCGTGGTGCTATTCAATATCTTAAAAAGTGTACTGTACATTCATTTCATTACCTAAACAGATGTTATGTACCTGACACTAGTAGCAATGGAGTGATTGTGACACCGGGAGTAGTGAAATGATTCACAATGGCATTTACTTGCAAATACTCAAGCTTTAGTATGTACAACATACAACGACAGCTTGAGTGCTTACCAGAGAATGATATGACTGATTTATATGAAAGATGGGAGCGGTTGGCAGCAACAGAATCACATTATGCACTACAAATGTCAAACAACATAATGGTACGGAACAGATCAGAGTGCGGGATGTCTCGCAGGAAGCCTTTACGGCAGAGCCAAGAAGCACTCTTCTATCACAAAGCATCTATAGAGTCAAACTGACACCTGACAGCATAGAGCGAATTTAATTGAAGAATTATGCATTTTACAGCACCTCCGATATTAAAAATCAGACGGGGGAGCTTATTAGCTTTGCAGACTGTACAGATACTGAGTGAAAACTGCTCCGTGGATTGAGTCAGCACCGCTGTTAACACTACGCCGGGCTCTTAGAAAAGGCATACAGGTGTGAAGGTCAGTGGTGGAGTCTGTGTAAGCTTTCATCTGCTCAGTCAAACACTGTAAGATGTGGAAGAGCAAGGGCTGACCATGTGTACCTTAAAGGAGTTGTGAGTGCATACAGCTGGCCAATGTTGCTTTCCAGTGTCTCTTTATCACTGATTGTAATCCAGTGCTTTCAGCAGTGCTGGGCCAATGAATGGAGCCATGCCACTAATCAATCCAAAGTAAACAACAACAAAGTGTTTTTTGTAAAGAAAGGATTGAGCATATCAGTGGGTAACGGCATAGAACTTGGCTTTGCCTGGAGAATGAATACAAAGGCTTCTCGGGAGGGCCGGAGTACAACGCACTTTACAAATTAAACAAAAGGACAAGGACTGCAATATGACTGTCACTTAGAGAGGGTGAACAAAGTTGGAAGAATCCATTCAGCGAATCTTCAATGTCAAATCAAGAATGGAACAACAAATCTATTTAATTTGCTTTACAAAAAGGCATTTGTGTGTAAACAACTTGCTTGACTTTGCTCAGACTTTGAAATCATTGGGTCTTTTCATGAGTAAATACGTCTGTCTGTGTCTCTTACCCTGGACCTCTCCTCCAGTTTGGTCATCATGACGATGATTGCACTCCTCTGCTCCCAGATCATCCTCCAGAATTCACCAAATGTCTCTGGCAGGGATCCTTGGGTGGCGATGTAGGCATTCTGCTTCCTATAGCCATCAATGTAGTTGGCGTTGATATAGTCACTTCCAGGGATACCTAAAAACAGAACATGTAGATGGTGGGAGTTACAATCAAAAGGCAACATCTCAAATACAATGGTTAACTTTGTTGTTTAACACAATGTAGAGAAGAGGATACATGGCTCAACATAGTGGCATTTGTTGCTTCCTAAGTTGGTCTAAGTCTTGATTTAGGTTCAGATGACACCGCATGAGGATTTCCTCAGTGTCTCCAAAAATGAATTCAGTCTTCTGAAAGTATGAAATCGAAAAATAGCATAAAACACTAACATTTGGACCCAGCGTTACAGTCTGTATGAGGATTTGTATTTGCTATCAACAACACGTTTAAATCGACAGCGTTTGTGTTCCCATTCCATATCTGCAACTGACTTACAGATAACGCTCGGTCTGTAAAAGTCTATCACATCACATGGAGGAAAAACAAACCAACAAAAAAACTAGCAAAACAATTTTCCCCCCTCCCTTCCTCTCTCCTTCCCTTTGCTTATATTAAATGAAAGGCACAGCAGCCTTTTCCAATCCAGGCGGAAGAGACGGAGCTGACAGCCAGTCAATGCTTCAGGACTGGCAGTTTAGGGGCTTCGTGCACACATGGCCGACCAAGATAAGTCTCATCTGCATGGACGCCACGTATCAGAGAATCCCCCACTCTCCAACTGCATCCCCTCTCCCCCACAAACTCCCTTTTCTCCCAGGTAACTTATTCAACAGGAAAGGAAAATGGAATATGAACACATTCAAAGACCAGCCCACATTATTTTATTTTTTTTCAACTCGCCCTCGCTTTTTGCTGTTGAAGTTGTCCAAACAGCCGGGCGGCAGTACATTTCCGTGATGGACAAGGGATAAATGCAATTAAGCCCAACGCGTTTTCAATTTGAAAAGAAGAAGCAAAAAGAGACATTACTGTGGATTAATGAGAACGAGGCAAGTTGTTTAATGCACATTTGCAAATGGCTTTTGCCTTTGTGCTTTCTGTCACTCAGGATTTGTATAAATGCAACCATTCTCTCAGTCAATATGCTTATTGAGAAATAAACATTGCTCCAGCGTTGTTCAGTACTCTCTACCCTTCATAGGAAAGCAAAAGAATCTGTAAGGAAACAGATTTCAGGCTACAACACTGTAATGCTCATAATGATGATCATTCCCAGTAGTTGTTGTTCATGTTTAGACATGGTGCATTTGCGAGCAGATGTCGACTCACACTTTCTCAGATTACCACATTGTCTAACCTCAGAACGGATATTTATAAAGTTGTCACATTAGATTTTTTATTATATGTTCCCGAACAAATGACCTGTTTGTAGAATAACAGGCTTGTGACAGCTAGCACACGCTAAATATAGTTCAACAGAAAAACTGCATAAATTCACTTTTAATAAATGTAAAGTTCCAAAAAGAACATGCTAACAAATACTGATGCATACTAATTGAATTTAGAAGCTGCACAATTTGGCAAATGAGGGGTAGGCAAAGTTTTAGGGATTAACTTTAGAAACATGTTTAATCCCGCTAAGCGCATGTTTTGTACGGTCAGGCAACTTGGCAGAGGTCAAAAGTAGAGCAAATTCAGTCATGTCACGACAAAGTCCACAAACGTACTTGCGCATCAGTGCGCCTGTGTTCCAAAGATTCTGCTGATCCATCCCCACATCAATACATTCTGAAAGTAGCTGTCTTCAAATTCTGATGTCAAATCCCAAATCCCCTTTTATTCAAATAACTCAATCAAAGTAAACAATAGACGCATAGCTTGCCAAAAGGCTTTAAGCCTCAGAAGGAAAAAAGGAAGTCCCTCTTGTCCCCCTGGCTGAGAACTGCTCACTTGCTGCAGCACAAAGGCTCCAATATGGTCGTGCAGATGTGTTTAAACGCCTGGCTAATGGAGTTCCATCAACACTCGGCTGTGTGTCGTGTCTGAGAGACTGCAAAAAGGGCTCTTTGAGCCTTTATCTGTCTGCTTTTGTCACAATAGCCATTTACTTCTTTGTTTATTTTTCCTTCGCCCTCCGCGGGAGCAGCTCAATGGAAATGGTTAATTAATAGCCGTGTGTGTGTATGTGCAATTCTGTTTAATCCAAGAAACTAGTGAGGGAGCCAACACTTAACTAGCCATTTCAAAATGGCCTTTCATTCTTCAGAAGCTACACTGTACAGCGCAGCGCTTCTTTAATGTGCCAAACACTCACTGGGCTGTTTCATATCAGGTTCCTAGATGGGCTCAAGTGAAGTTGTGCAGCCACATCTTGAGTGAGTCTTAATGTTACTAGCGAGTTTTCTGTCAGGTAGCACATTGGCAAACGCATATCCATGTCAAATGTGTACCCACAAATAGTTAATGTAATGTGTATTGCAAATTTAAATTCTAATAAATGACAGTTATAATAAGCCAAGATGTCTATCTTCCAGTGTACTCACTGTTCTCATTTCAAGATAAGAAACTGGCCATGGCTTTATACAAAATGTAAGTGTGAATCACCTGCTGTAAAGTGAGAAAAATAGATGCTGGGTATACCTGCATGGCTCACTATATGTGATTGTTTAATCTGACTTGAGTGCTTGCCTCAGCATTTAAAGTGAAAATTGCCAGTTTCTAAAGCCGTCACTTTCTTTGCAAGCACCTGAGGCATGAAAGGAGAAAGTAGTCTGAGGTGCTTGTGGAGAAATATAATTTAAAAGTACAGCGTGGTTGCACTCCTCGGGTCTAAAAGATACAGTTGTCCTGGCTGTCTGTCGAATCGATACAGCAGATGGGAGAGAAGATGTTGGTGGGCAGCATACCGTCAATAGCGGAGAGCAAGACTCTGGAGTGGTCGTAGGCAATCACGTTGGCATATCTGTTCTTTGGTTTGTTGACCTCCAGGTTAGAGTGTTCCCACGTGAACTGCTGACCGGGGTCAATGGACTGTGAAGTAGAAGAACACTTTTGTTACAATGGAATGTGATGTAATATATAATGTGAACATTTAACAATAGTTCCTTGCTTGGATTGAATTCAACTCCATGGTCATGGCCCATGAGATGTTGGCATAAGATCAATATCAGAAAGCTTCCTGCACTATGCCTTTTAGAGTTGAAAATACTACGTTATGTTTTCATCTCTTTAAGAGTGTCTTAAGGCCACATTTAGACTTGTATGTTGAAAGATGTTTATCCAGCGCTTTGAGGAAGGCAGTTTATAAAAGTCAAAGCTCTGATGAGTTCCAATCTGTTTGTTCATGTCTCTACATTGACATATTTGGCTAAAAATATTCATTTGGTATTAAAGTCTTTCATAATATTGATTTTGAGTGCTGCTGTTAGACCACATGTGTGCAAAAAAGTGATGCAGAAAGATTGTAAAATATTGATAAATCTCCAGTTTGCCCTGCAATGAATACTGTTTGCCATCAAGGTCAAATGATATACAAGACTGGATATTTTAAGCTTACTATTTACACCAAGTGAAGAGACTGATACACACAGCATTTACAAGGGAACATAAAATAGCATGAAGGCACAAGCATTCCTTGACTTGTCAGTTAGAACCATGCTTCTCTCTGATGACATGGCGTGTCTTCAAGTTGGCTGGAGTACAAATTGCTGTCTATGTTTTCAAAGAAATCGTTTTTTAACGAATGCAATCACGTGTGTTGTCATTCATATTACAAATCAAGATATAACATCCGGTTTATGCTGGCATACCATACTAATAAACCAGTGCGTGTCGTCTTTTCACACACCAAACGTGGAGGCTCTTTAATGAAGCTGTGACCATGAGTGAAACGTGTTTGAAGTTATTCAGTCCAAAGATGATTATTGTTCTCTGACTGGAAGCTGATTTAATTGATGAATAGTCTTACCCAGACTTGTATTATTTTCCAGTTCATTTAAGTAGAATCTGTTCTGGCCTCTCGGTATCTTGTAGAAAATGGGGTGTCAACAGACACATGAATCTAAGATGACAATTTGGTCTGCAACGCCTAAATCAGAGCATTTCATAGATGGAAATTTGACTGGAAGCAGATAGCTTTAAGCTTTAGGAGCAATGTGAACAATTTGTTGTCTTTGGCATGACATAATTGCGACATATAAATGATTAGATTTACAAAAAGAAACATTCCAAATTGGTCACCGAGGAAAATCTTGTGTTCCATCAGCTTTCCTCATTTGAGTCGTAGGACTTTATGGCACATACTAGAACACCACACTTGAGACCAGTTCGACAGAATTTGCTATCCAAGCCCTCTTTCGGCATTGTAAAGCAGAGATTGACAATGCTCCCTCATCACCGATAAATGAGCCATAAAATGTAATATCACAAAGGGAAAATACAATGGCATGAAAGATGGCATTCCATCTCACATTACAGGGAGAATATTGTGCTTGTGTTTTTTAACGACTGCAACCTGCTTTTATGAGTTAATCTCCACTGAAAGTAAAAACCCAAGAGTAATAGGACACATTGCAAATAGATGCCACATTAGTACACTGACCTTGCTTATTATCGTCATAATTATCGTACTTATATGACTTCTTTATGGTAATTTATGGGAGCAATGATAGCATAAAGATGAGCTTAATTATTCATTTTAATGATGGCAAACTTTTTTATACCACTATGACGATGGAAGCAAATACATTCAGAGGTATTTAAGAGCACATGAGCTCAATGTGAATACAATAAGACATTTCAGCACCAATATCTTTATCTACAGAAATCCCTTAAAGTAGCAATACCCCTGGCTAAGCCTGATATTTTTTCTAAATATGTTGAAACAGTGGGCTGCAACATTGCTCATAATAAAAAAATCTTTATTTCATTGTGCTCGCAAAATTGCCTTTCCACTGCTCTCGAATAAGCTCTATGAAATTGGAATTCAATGTACTTAAGCTGCAGTAATGATTGGGCGGCTTGGCAGCCACCCATAGGGTGACCTCATAGATTTTGGAGCTGTTGCAGGACCCGCAGAGAAAGGACGCGCATCGTTCCTATCTCACAAAATGCCCCTGAAAGCACCTCTTGCTCACAAAGTGTTTCGGGCCCCGTTAGTTCATCTACAATACAAAGCAATGCAATATGAAGGAAACACTTGCATTGTCTCACTGCTGCCCACAGGGTTTTTGAGGGCACTTAACTTTGAAGGACTTTTACGTTTCAAGGTCTAATCACAGGATGTATATATGTAGCCATCACCTTTGTTCCATTATGCATCTTTAGTCTGATAGTGGCCATACATTCCAGAGTGAGACTTCAGCCAGAGTGGAGGTATGATTCACTGGCTGGAGAAGAGTCGGTAAACTGTAGCCTTTTTCACAGCCGACATTTTTGACTTGTCATAGCAGGAAAAGCACAGGCGCTACTAATACCATTAAAAATGACGTCTTTCCCATTCAACGGTCTCAGTAGGGCTCTGGAATTGAAAATGGAGTGCAACCATTATTACAGCTGTTGATTACACCTGTGTATTTCCTGCTATGACATGTCAAAATGTCTGCTGTGAATAGGGCATACTGACTGATTTTAGATCTCTGGTGAAGCTATTTCTCATGAAAGTACTTCCTAATTCCCGTATTGGGCAGTCATCCACCAATTGTTGACATGCTTGGACTGGTATATGGTAGCATGGGTATAATCTGTAGGCAACGGGATGAGATTTGGGTATTGCAAGTGTTCTGGTTTGCATTTGTAGTCTGTGTATTATTGACCAATCACGTCATCACCAATCATTGTAAAATGAGCTTGTAAACTGGCTACTTGTGCATCAATCCGGTGATACACATCTCCTCTCAACTCAAACTCTCAAACACTCTTTCTAAAGCATTAATAACAATTGCTGAATCAACATCGGGACTTTGCTGACACTCACCTCATATTCTTGTGAAAACTTGAGGTTGTCGTTGGCTTTCAGGCGCTCCAGATGATCTGCCAGGTCCATAATTGGGATTGGAGGGTGGCTAGCCATACCTGTCAATTAGATGGACTAAAGGTCAGTCATCAGTCTTGTAAGCCGGCATCACCCAAGCACAAGCCAACAGTGAATCATTAGATAAGCAGCACATGTGTTTAACAGGGGGGAATGGAAGAGTGGTTCTGGTTAGGGTAGTTTGTTCACTCAAAGCAGTGGCCATGCTCATAAAGAGAATATGTACACAGAAGCCAATGAGAGGTCATCGAGCACACTTGCCCCACTGGGACTCTCCCTATTGAGAGAGGAAAAGGGTTATTCACACAGAAAGCTGCAGTGGATAGTTAGCATGACAGTGATACACAAACACAAAGAAACAACCCAAAAAAAAACAAACGAAAAACATTCAGATTGTTAGGGCAGATGTTGATGTTTTGCTTTGAGTGATGACATGTCATTTCAAACTCCGCCTCCTGTGATGACATTGCATTACCACCAGATGGATTAGATTGGGATGGGAATACAAGACTATGCAGAAAAAAAAAGGAAAAGAAAAAGGAATTAAAGCTAAAAACAAAGAAATCATGTCAAGTGCATAATCGAGAACAACTAACTTGACAAATGGAGGTTACTGGGGTGACTGGACGCACCTGAACCTGCGGAGGAAACGGCGGCGTAAATTAAATACATTGCAGATGTCATTGGCAATGTGATGACTACTAGGTAGAAATTGAAATGTGACAAGAAGTAGTTGAGTGATTATGTGTATTCTTAATGGGACATTTATTAGTAACAAATGCATCATCATGCTAGAAGCTTGGCTAATGCACAATGCATATTTCATGGAAATAAATCAACCATGGGACATTATTTGACATTCATTTTAACCTGATTATGCTGACATTGTGCTATACTGCTTGCATAGTTTGCAGTTAAGTTCACTTGACTTTGAAATTGTTGAATATGGGTGGTTGTCAAGGTGTGTCATCAGCATATTTAAGAGCTTGGGGAAACAATCAAAAGTGTAGTGTTTGAACTGTCTGATCTTCACAAAGACACCTTTTCTGTACATGCGTTCACAATCTAGCCTGTGGCCAAAGATATTCAACTTGAGTATTCAGGGGCCATTTTGACACTACAGTTGCATGACAGTCTCTCTCTCTCTCTCTCTCTCTCTCGATTGAGGTAATTTTTCATTTTGGTTGCTGGCACAAGTGGGCATTAGCTAATGGTAGCTGTTCCTCGTTTTCCCACCCACTCTCACGTCTCTCTGAAAGACGGCAAAGGGGGTTTCTATTGCAGCCCGCTACTCAAAATCCATTTCCATCACTGGGGGACAATGAAAGTGCCATTTCCAACACGCCATCACTCAAACATCGAGCATCCTTAAGAAGAAAATGTCCATTGAGGGGGAAAAGAGGTGGAAGAAAGGCTAGAGAGAGTAGGGGAGAGAGGTGGTCTAGTGTAGAAGTGCTTCAGGACTTGAGAGGAAGTGGTCACGTGGTAGGGAAAAAAAACGTTTGGCTGCTTTTTGAGCAGCGAGTGAGACAAGATACCAGCCCTCAGAAAGGCTGTTGGGGGGGGGGGGGGGGGGGGGGGGGGGGGG